GAAAATCATTTTTTTTTCTACATTTTAAAGCTATAAGTACTTGTGTGATCATCTGCATCGTCCTAATACTTAATATCTTTCTTTTTCTAAATAAATAAATAATTTTTTAAAGGTATATGTACTTGTGTAACATTCTGTGTCATCCTAGTACTTAATATAATAGCCTTCTTTTATGAAGTGATTAAAATATGTTTATAAAGATATCTCATCGTCCTAGTACTTAATACCTTTATTTTTCTATACCATGCCAAAATTACCAAAAGAATACAAAATCTTCAAAAACCAAAAACATCAACATTTTCAACTAACAATCTTCCTTTTGAGAACAACATGATCCTTGATTTTTTTTTCATCAAGAATGGAGATACGTAGGAGTAAGGGTCGGACTTGTCAGATCCAGTTCCAAAAAAATCAAATCAAAATCATTTGTAAGAAAGAACTACATAACTTTGATTTCTCAATTGAAATGAGAATATATAGGAGTAAGGTCAATCCTTATTGGGTCCAAAAAACCAAAAACTACCTTTATTTCTTTAGAGTGTTATTTTCGAGAAAAATAAAACATTTTTAAAACCACCTCGCCTTTGTACCTTTAGTTAAAGGTATTGCCTTCGAGCAAGTGTAGTAAAGTGGTAATACTTTCCTTATGCTTAATCAAATCCCAAACCTAAATTTCGATTTTTATAAACCATGCTTATTTTATAATTTTTCATAATTTTCATAATAAATTATGATAGCAACTCCAAAACTTCTTTCTAAACTCGTTTATTTTTTGGTTCATCGTCTTTCTAAACTTGTTTCTTATTTTTGAGAAAAAGAAAACATTTTTAAAATCACGTCACATTTATACATTTTGTTAAAGTTAGTGGCTTGTGTAATAAATACATTTTGTTAAAGTTAGTGCCTTCTATAATAAAGTGTTAATACTTTCTTTTTAGAGCAATAAGATGACAAATGATGATCATCCTCATTTTAGAGCATTAAGAGACAAATGATGATCATCCTTATCTGTATGCTCTTATTCCTCCTGTTTGCCAGCATTCTTATCTATATAGAGGAACCAATTAGAGAAGAATGACTGAATTTAACTAGATATGTAACCAGAGCTTTTTGATTGGGCATATACTTTTCTTCATACAGCTTAGCTAACCACTGTTCGTAACAAATTCGGGAAAGATAATGCAACCACATCTCGCTTAATATCCCCATTCAAACCACTGATAAAGCAGTTTAACAGAGCTTCTTCAGTTCGACTTGCTAGGGACATGAACTTGAGGTAATAATCTGATACTGATTCGTTCTACTGTAAGTTGAACAATTTGACCATACGGCTATCGAAAGGAGAAGGCCCAATGTTAGATTCCAATGCTCGGGTGAGAGTTGTCCATGTTGTGACTGCCTCCATCTTTTGTAGCATCCAAAACCAAGTTACCTCGTCCTTTTCAAAATGGATAGATGCAGTATCAATTTGCCTGCATCCGGAGTATTATGATAATATAAAAACTTATCAGTCTTGAATATCCATTCTAAAACTGATGAAGAGCCATCATAATGAGGAAAGCCCAGAGAAATATCTCGACTCTATGAAACCATCGTAATTGGTGAAATTTTCAACGTTGAGCCCGAGTTCGATGAACTTCCATGACTAGGAAGAATGAAGCAGAGTTGGTTGGTAAGCCAAGTTTTAGTTTCTTCATCGTCACTTCCTGTTCTTCATTCCTATCTTCCATAATTTTCTGAAGTTTCTCCACTGTCAGAGCCAAACATCGAATGTCTTCACCGTTACTGCGAATCTCCGCCTGCATCTCTTTCATTCTCGTATTCTTCGTCATAGAAGCCAATGAGAGCAACAATGAAACAGTGCTAAACCAATAAAACAGTAAAAACTGAAAAAATTTGATAAACCAACTCAGTGTCCAGCAATATTTTACAAAATAAGAACTATTTCAACAAGGGATAAAGGCAACAAAGTATCTAAGCTCCCAGACATTTCCATTCGTCGTGTATTAAATAAGATAAAATTCATGCATGTCGGAAAGGTATATGAGAAAAGAAGTGCAACAGACAGAAGAGGTGAAGAAATCAGTGTAGGCAATAGAGGGAGATTTCAGTACCAACATCATCATGCCCTCTGCCAAAAATGAATCATTCAATTTAATATTCTCTCTTTGCATGAGAGTTGTGACGTGCCCCTTTTGTTTTCTCTTTGTTAGCCACATGGCCAATTTGATCAACTGACTCACCCTCCTTCCCAACACCTTTAATATTTGTTACAATTTCATTTGTTGAATATTATGTCTGACACAAGACTTGTTTTAAAAGGCATTTGTACCTCTATATGCATGCATTGTTGGTATGTATTTATTGGATATGTTATCAAGTAATGCATGCAAGATTGTTTTTTTGAGACGCGATAACATTGCTTTTAAATGATTTATTCTAGTATGTTGAGGCAATCAAAACTTCTCAAATGGTACCAAAGAACTCAGAACTAGCAGTAAACTCGTTAAGAGTAGAAAACTCAGGATAAGAGAATCTAAGAGAGTGATTTTTTCCATTCCAGAAAGAAGGGGAAGTCACGAATAGGAGAGGTTTAAGCCATGGCTAAAACAAGAGACCTTTATGTTTGCGATTGGTTATTGTACTCTATCGTTTGCAATATTTAAAAATATCGCAATAATCCCATCCCTCCTCCCATATAGCAAAAACAACAAGAAGGAAATTTTTCAAATTTTAAAAATATTTTTATTGATTACGTACGAAATCCTTGGAGGGTCAGTTTTATACATAATGACCATCCGTTTTTGTAAAGGAAACAATACACCATTACTATACTAATAGATAACCTTCACCTCTTAATGGATAGAAAGTTTTTTACTTCATCCTCTGTCAACCTTTCAAGAAGTAGAAGAGGACCAAGTACAAATGAAAAGAAGAGATAAAAAGAAAGATATGACACTTACAACCAAAAAATGAGTTAAAATGTTAAAAGTGTCAAAGTAAGACATACAGTCCAATTAGTGCTCCAACAAAAAAATACTCATATTAATGACCAAAGGCTAGTGTGTAGAGTCAAAATAGGTCTTCTTCTAATATTCCTCTTGGTAGAATTTGGAAAAGGAAAGTCACTCCAAAAACACATGCATTCAATACAATGCAAACAAGAGCTTAAAAGAAAATACTCCTAAACTAAACTTCAAATGTCTTAATCATTCATTTGATTAAGGTGTGTGATCTTGGGAGCTACATGCTTTGGATTATTATTCTAATAACACTTATTTTGGTCTCTTGTTCTTTGTAGAAGGGTATTTGATCTGGGGCAGAAATCCAAACATCTCCAAAAGGAGGAAGGATGTTCATATACAACTATAAGATTTGAGGTCAAATTCTTTTAAAAAGAGAGGGGATGATGAAATACCCCTATTCATGGCCTAAGAATTCAAGAAGAGCTAGAGTCATTATTTATTAAAGAATATTTAACCCTAAGGGAAGGAAGCTAAACATCTCCAAAGGGAGGAAGGATATGTTTACATGACAACTTGAGGATTTGAGGTAAAATCTTTTTGAAGAGGGAAGGGGTGGTGGCATATCCTTAGCCATGACACAAATACATTGAAGAAGAGCTAGAATCATCCATGCAAGGTTTCAGCCATCTTGGAACACCTCTAGTACATTAGGACTATTTAGAGCCTTGTATTAGGTCAATTAGTGTAGGATTTCCTTTTAGACATTATATCATGGGACAAGTAGTAGACCGTTTTTGGTCAATTAAATTTTGTGTCTAGCTTAAGTTAATCTTGGTGTTAATTTTTAATAACCTAACTTGGTGGACAAGACAAGGAACAAGGTGCCTCACATTAGAGAAGGGGTCCATGCGTTATAATTCTGTGGGGAAGCTTTTACTAGAGTAGTAACCACATGGCACTCTAGGAGTGAAATTTTTTTCTATATATTACTGGCCACATGTCCTTTTGATCATCGATGTTACACTCGACTAAAATTAATATTACAGATTAAATGCAGTAATTAGGGAGTGACTCCTAGGTCGTCTCTCAAGAACCAATTTTTGATTCTGCCATAAAATCAAACACGTAGTGAGGGGTTTTGAACAATTTTACGAATTGAAGTTAACACAACAATTAACTTGGACTAAACAGTGATTAAAAATGGATTGTCACTAGTTCGAATTACAATGTTTCCCTATCCTTGATTAACAACAAATTAATGTTTCCTCTCACCCCTAATCCCACTGAATTAACCAAGTGAGTGAAGTTATCTGGTTCTTCAAAATTGTGAATTAAACAAAACACATGCATATATCTAATCATTATGCACCACACAGGTTCATCAACTAAAAACGAAATAAACATCAATTAGAACGCACTAACACGTGTCCTAATTGTAGCACAAAGCACATTAAACATAATGCAAGGTAACAACAAAGAAATCAAATGATAGCACACCAATCTAGAGGCACATTTGCAATCTCTCTCTTGTCACCAACCAACAGAATTCAACCCTCCATAAAAACGACTTCAACACAGTAAAAACGAATTACAACCATAACAACATAGTAAATACGAAAATTGAAACTGAAATTGAACTCGAAAATGAAAACTAAAAACGAAACTACAAACAAGAACATAACACAATCTGGAGAAACGAATCACCAGAAAAACGAAATTGTACAACATGGGAAAACGAAATTATTTGTCCATCATATTTTCGACAACAATGTGTACTGAAATTTTGGCCGTCGAAAAATCCCTTGAAAAGTTGTAGTCATTATCAATAATTTTATTCGTCAGTCAATCGAATTTTTTTTAGTGTTCCATATGCAGTACTTTTGTGTGAGAAAAAAAAGATCGCTTTTTATCATGTACACATTCTCTTGGTATTTACGTAATAATAAGTTGGTGCGGCTGCTATTTTATACCAGCGCATGGCACCCTTCTGCCTGTAAAGGTTTGCTTTCCTAGTGAAAAAATAGCAGAGGAAAATAAATAAAGCTTAGAAGTTTTATTCTTTTCATAGTGTAGTACTATATTACAAAGACAAGCTAACTTCACGATTACAAGATCTATTTTTCATAACATTAAATAGATTACATGAAATAACAAGAAAATATAATACAAAATACAGGGAACAAGTACAACTCAAGCATGTATATGTAGGATGTTCAGTCTTTCAGCTCTGTGTGTGACATTGAAGATGACCTCGACATCGCAAGCTCGTTGGTTACGAGCTTCATGGTTGGACGAGATCATGGAGTTTCAGTGAGGCAAGAAATTGCTATCTTGAGAATTGATACCAGCTCTTTCAAAGTAGAACTTGTTGGATGAGGTAGACGTTCATCCAAGTTATCCATCAATGCCATATGATCAAGTGTTGAGATCATACCAATTGATAAAGAAGATTGCAATAAAGATGTAACATCACCAGGGTGCCTTCCAAATAATATTTCCAATGCCAAGACCCCAAAACTATACACGTCACATTTCTCGTTTACTTCCATTGTGTACGCAAGTTCTGTATCAATTTAAAAATATTTTGTAAATCATCAACAAACACAAGCTGAAATATCATGATATCTACTCAATATAGAAAGGAAACTCACCTGGAGCAGCATATCCAAAGGTTCCGGCAAATGATGTCCAATTGGCTGAACTATGATCAAGAAGCTTAGCAGTTCCAAAGTCTGAGACATGAAATACATATTCTGAATCCAAAAGAACATTTTTGCTTGATATATCACGATGAACAATTGGAGGTAAGCAATCATGGTGCATATAGCATAAAGCATTTGCCACGTCTTTAATAGCATCCACCCTTTTCTTCCAATCAAATACAGTTGCTTGTTCATCGTCTTTCAAAATCTTCTTCACATCGCCCCTCTCTAGGAATTCGCACACCAAAAATGAGTATTGTGAATGCGAACAAAACCCATGAAACTTTACAATGTTACGATGTCGGATTTCTGTCAAAGCCTGGATCTCAATTAAGAAAGCTTTCTGATAAAGGATTTCTCCATTTGAAACTGAATGGAGTTTCTTCACAGCAACAACTTCACCTGTAGGTAATACTGCTTTGTAAACACAACCTTGACCTCCAACTCCAATGAGATATTTGTCATCAAAATATTCGGTGGCTTCAATAATGTTCTCAAACATAATTTTGCCTCCAAAACTCCATACTGGAGACATGCTTGGAGATCGTGAACTTAGAGCCTGCAATTGTTCTTTGTTTGAAGTTCGGCATAAATTACAGGAGACACCAAAAAGAAATAGTGCAAGCATTAGAATGGCCACAGTAACGGATAAAACTGCTATTAGCACTTTCCTTGTCGTATTATTATGAGATTTCCCACTTACTGTCGGGCAAGGCTCCAAGCCAGCGACATTGCCACACAGGCCTTTATTATTTCTCAGAGCTTCAATGGTGACATTCTGGAAGACTTGATTTTCAGGAAGTGGACCCTCAAACTGGTTGTATGATATATCAAAAGATGTCAAGCTTATCATATCATCTAAGCTAGAGAGATCACCTGAAAGACTGTTGTGCGATAGATTCAATGTTTCTAAGTCTTTTAAACCAAACGTTGGTGGTAATCTTCCACTCATCAAATTTCCACTGAGATCAAGACTTGAGAGAAAATTCAAACTGCCAAGCTCAGAAGGAATATTTCCCTCAAATTTATTCTGGCTCAGATTCAAGGACAATAAATTGTGCAAATTTCCAAGTTTTTTCTGGATTAAGCCTGTAAAATTATTTGAGCCGAGCTCCAAAAATTTAAGTCCCTCCAGTGATTCTATTTTGGAGGGAACATTTCCAGAAAGATTATTGTCGTTGATTGAAAGATCAAACAAAAGGGTCAAGTTGCATAAATCTTCTGGAATGTTTCCTGTAAGATGGTTTGAGGAGAGATCAAGCAGCTGTAATTTGGTTGCCCCACCTAGTTCTGGTGGAATAACACCTGACAAATTGTTTTTGAAAATCATGAAGCTTGTGAGGCTGCGAAATTTTCCCCAAGTAGGTGAAATATTACCGTGAAGATTATTTTGACTGAGATCAATGTAGTTCAAGTCTGGAAGGAAATAAAAAAAGTTTGTTATATCCCCAGTTAAATGGTTTTGCTGAAGCCTGAGTCTTTTAAGGCTGTAGCATTTCTTCAAAGTCTCTGGAATTGGGCCAGTGAAATTGTTATTACCAGCTGTGAAGTATTTCATGTTTCCCCCGAGGCAAACGTTCTGAGGTATTTGGCCTATAAAATTATTATCAGCAATTGACAAACATTCGAGACCAGTAAGCTTCTCCATTTCTATTGGAATCTCGCCAGTAAGTTCATTCTCAATAACACATATGACCTTGGCGTTTGTTAAATTTCCTATATGGGGAGGGATGGATCCGGTGAGTTGATTTGAAGATAAAGATAACAGGGTGAGCCTGGACAAATTCCCAATACTGGCAGGAATGGATCCAGAGAGTTTATTTTCGAAAAGGTGAATGGATTCTAAAAGGATCAAGGTTCCTAAGGTAGGAGGGATTGACCCAGAGAGGTTGTTGGTAAATATATTGAATGTGAGAAGAGACTGGAGATGATCCACTTCATTAGGAATAGAACCAGAGAGACTATTGACACTAAGATTCAGATACTTTAGTTTGGAAATATTACAGATGGTTTTGGGAATGTTACCGGAGAGATGATTTTTAGACAAATCAAGCGTGTTGAGATTGGACAACTGTTCAATCTGTGGAGGAATACTTCCAGACAAGGAGTTGAAACTCATATTCAGAACGAGAATGTTTGGAAATAATGAGAAGTTAAAAGTTTGAAGTGTACCTTTTAATCCAACACGTGTAAGATTTATGTGAGAAACAGAAAGGGAATCATCACATTCTATTCCTCGCCAGATGCAAGGATTAGTGCCATTCCATGAAGCGAGAGAAGATTGACTGTGGCTGTCAAGGCTGCCTTTCCACTTCAACAAAGCATTTGCTTCCGAATCAGAAGAACTGACAGCATCATAATGTGGAAATGCACAAAACAATACAACAAGCATCGATAAAGGTTTTAGCTTCATGTACAGAAGCGTTGGAAAGACGAACACCATGATGAAATATTCAATTCAAGAGAAATAACTTGCATGCAGTTAATGGGATTTTGCAAATACTTATGAGCATAAAAGTCAAGAAATATTCTGCTGTTTTCTTTTCTTGAATTGGTCTTTGTTACTGCAGCGTATTACCCACGTTAAACTGTTGCCATCATATTCCAATCTTTATACCGCATATGTTCTCATAGAAAATGCAAATATTCCTAATATGCTTATATTTTCATTTTCATAATTTTTACAATTTATAAGTACACACCATAAATCTTCTAATTATTATAAATTACACACTACAATAATTATAAAACAGTAACTTTGTGACTCTTCTCTTCCAGTACACTATCGATGATTACTCAATAATTATCAAATAACACATAAATTAAGTTTATTTCCACAAAACTTTCTTATTAACTTAAATTTTGTCTTCTTTCATCTCAATCATCTTTCTATATTCACAAAACATTGTTGCAGGTCATGGTTTCGTAAACATATTACTTATATGCTCTTTGCTCCCTACATGTTCAAGCATAATAATTATCTAAAATTTCTACAAAACTCTCCCATAAACTTAGATTTTGCCTTTCATTCCAATCATCTTTCTATATTCATGAAACATGGCAGTGGTTTCGTGAACATATCAATTATTTGCTCTTTTTTCCCTACATGTTCAAGTTTCGTGCTTCTATCCTTTACCTTTCCCAAATAAAACAAAATTGGACGCTTATATGCATGCTCCTTTTGTGGTTGACCTGGTTTTTTGCCAACTCAATTATAGATTTATTATCTACTCGAATCACAACCTTCTCTTCTTGTTTTATCTTCATCTTATTCAACACGATTTTAAGCCAAACTACATGTCGTACACTCCAAGATGCTACCACATATTGAGCCTCACACGTCTACAATGTCACAATGAACTGCTTATTTGAGAGCCAAGTGAAGGTCCTATTCCCCATAAAGAAGACGTAATTTGTCGTACTCTTTGGGTCATCTATGTCTTCGCACCACTCACTATCTAAGTATCCATTAATCCGTTTCAACACTTTACAATGGGAATATCTTGACTCCTCCATAAAGCGGCTTGTGATTCCCACGCTTAGCATCAGGTCTGACCTTGTGTTTGTTAAGAACCTCAAACTTCCAATTAAGCTACGATATTTTTTGGTGTCGATTCGTCCCCATCTTCGTGCTTAGATAGTAGCTGGATTGTCTCTATTCTTGGCATGGGAGCAAAGACTTCATCATAATCAATACCTTTCTTCTGTTTATAACCTTTTACCACAAGCCAAGCTTTGTAGCGCTCCACCTCTCTTTTTGCATTGTTTGTCTTCTTATACGCCTACTTCACACCAATTGGTCCAACTCCTGTAGGTAAATTTTGTCAGTCCCCACATGTTAATCTCTTCATTTATAGATTTCTTCCATTTGTCATCGAGCACGACTTCCTCAAAGTTTATATCCTCTACACCTATTAAAAGACATATAACATGTACCTCGTCAATAGTATTGTATGTGTCTTGGAAAGTTCGAGTTCTAAGCCGCAAAGGTTCATCCTCATCAATATTTTCATCATCCTGGATTTCTTCCATGCCTCCATTTCCATCTATCGAGCTCTCATTCATGTTGGCCAAGCTCTTATTCATGTTTGTTGAGCTCCTAGTTTCTGTTGTTGGGTTCCTTTCTTCACATGTCGAGCTCCTTTATTCAACCATCGAGCTCTCGTTTCCTTGTTTTGTGTTTGAACCTAGTTTTTCCTTCATCTCATCCCAGTTCCGTTCATTTTCTTCATTAAATTGCATGTCTCGGCATACTAGCACTTTGTTTGTTATTAGGTTGTATAATTTATATGATTTGCTCTTTCCATCATAAACCAATAAACACGTATTCCTGCTCCTGTCTTCTAGTTTAGTTCTCAATTGTGCTAGAATATGACAATAGGCCATGCTGTCAAATACTTTGAGATGCTTCACACTTGGTTTCCTCTTGCTCTGAGCTTCCTAGGACATCTTTTCTTTTAGCTTCGCATACAAGCTCCTATTTTGGACATAAAAAACACATTACATTGTTTATGCCCATAATTTCTCTAACATATTTGTACTTATGAGCATAGCTTGAACCATGTTAAGAATGGTTTGATTCTTCCTTTCTGCTACATTGTTTTATTGCAGGGAGTATGGAGTTGTTAAGAAACGCTTTATTCGATGTTCCTCACAATATTTCATAAATTCTCCTTATATGAACTTACCTCCCCCTATCAAACTGAACAACTTATATTGGCTTTTCGGTTTCCTTCTCAACCATCGCTTTGAACTTGAACATCTCAAACACCTTGGATTTCTCTATAAGAAATAAACCCACATGAAAACTCGTCCACGAATGAGATAAAATATTTACAAAACTTTTTAAATTAAACCAAGTTGTGTCCCCGCTTGGTACTCAATAGTCTTCAAAAAAATTTCCCTCGGATGTTTTTCGAGTACACACTCTTTACAAAACTTCTTTTCAAACTCTATATTTGGTAGCCCCTGCATCAACTATGTCTTCGACAGCTCGGTTAATCCTCCAAAATTCAAGTGGCCAAAGCAAAAATGTCACATCACAACTTTATCTTTCATATCCATCTTCAAACATTTCTTATGTACTATTATGTTTAGCTCCATCTTGTACATTCTATTTTTCTTTTATTTCGACTTAGGCTATCAAGCAATTGAGTTTATCCTTCAAGTATAGTACTCAGTTCTTCATCAGAACTGAGTAACCCTTTTCCATCAACTAACCCATGCTTAGAATGTTATTTTTTAGATCGGGTACATAGTAAACATCTCTCATTTCACTAAACCAACCGTCTTCTTGTCGGTATCAGATTATACATTTTCCTTTCCCAACTATCTCTGAATTATCTCCAAAAGAAACATACTCGACATCTACTTTGACAAGCTCTCTAAACATGTTTTTGTCACATGTGGTTATTAGACCTAGTATCTAAATACCAGATTGAGGTGTTTGAACAACTTGGCTTGAACTTGGCATCTATTGTTTTGTTTGAATTCACCCGAGCTTTCACACTCCTCGATATCAAACAACTCGGATTAAGCTCGACACCCCAACTCGAACCAGACCATATAGCTTGGCAACTTAGCTTTGTAGCTTTGCAACCTGGCTTTACAACTTGGCAACCTGGCTTTGTAGCTTGGCAACCTGGCTTTGAAGCTTGGCAACCTAGCTTTACGACTTAGCAACACGGCCTTGCATCTGGGCAACCTGACCTTGGAGCTCAACAACTCATCATTGGGCTCTTCTAGGTTAGTAACACAGCATCTGGGCTCTTACTTGACATCCGAGATTGATAGCTCGACCTCCAAGCTTGGTAGCTCGGTCTTCAAGCTCGATAGTTTGGTCTCTAGGTCCTTGACATCATCAGGATCCCTATCTCTTCATCAGCTTCCTTAGTGAGGAAATTTGTTTCTTGTTTCTTTTTAACTCGATAGTATTTTTCTATATGGCTGGCCTTACCACAATTATAACACTTGGCCAATCGGCAGTCATTGGCATAATGGTCATGCTTGCCACATTTATTGCATTCCACTCTAGAATTATTAGACCGACCTCCATAGCCTCTTGCTCTTCCACGACCTCTCTAGTTTTGTTGTCCAATTTTCTTATATTAATCTTCATGATCACCTTGCCCACAAACTCCTCGTTCATGACCTCTTCCTCAAGGACCACCTTAACCTCGATTATTCCGAGCACCTTCCTTCATGTCAAGCTTGGCTTGAAGTACTTGATCGAGTGTCTCAAACATTGTCATCCTCCACTACTCATGTGCCTCCAAGGATCCAGCAAGTTATTCAACCGAGAGCGTGGTCAAGTCATTGGACTCCTCGATGGCACATACAATTTTTTGAAGTCCTTAGTCAACGACCTTAGGATTTTCTCCATGATCCAGCTGGTAGGAAACTCCTCTCCATTTCTTCTGAGTTGATTCATTAATTCTCCACCCGAGATATAAACTCTGTCACTCATTCTTTACTTTTCATTCTCAAACTTTCGAACTCAGCCTTGAGACTTTGAAGTCTGACTTGTTGTACACGGTTAGTGCCTTTGTATACTTTTTCCAGAATTTGTCACGCTTTTGTTGAAGATTTAGCATTCATTATCTTCTCAAAGCCAGATTCATTAGCAACTCAGTATAGTATGTACAGGGTTGATTGATCCTTCACACTTGATCTTCTCAACACAACAACTTAGGCCACTCTACTCTTTATCTTTTACTGGCTCTTTGTACTCATTTGCAATAACATCCCACACGTCTTAGGATCCCAAAAGAGCTCTCATGTGAATGCTTCAATTGTCATAATTAACTTTCTTTATCAAGTAAGGCAGGGACACACTGTTAGCTCAACCTTAGATCCAGACTTACTTAGCTCAACCTTTGGCCAAGCCGACTCATCTTGACCTTCGCCTAATATCAACTCATCTTAACCTTCGATCCATATGAACTCGTTCTGACCTTTGACCCTTCTCGACATTCAGTTGAACCTTGAACTTGAACCAAGTCAATCATGAGTAGAGTGAGAACAAAGTGAAAAAGAAAATTTTCAAATTACTTATTTAAAATTCTTCTATTATATTAATTTGAAATATCTTTGAAAATTTCTTAATTTTTAATTTATTTCTAAATACTTTATATTACAAAGAATTTTAAATTTTCCAAATAAAACAAATACCTTTCTAACTTATTCCATCCAAACGCAAGTTAAAAAAAATACTTAAATAAATATCATATTATACTCAATATTTTTAAAATGTTAAATACGTATGATTATTACATTTTTAATAAAATAATAATCATGCCACCTCTAATTTTTCTAACTTTTAATAGAATGATATTTGTCATCTTATATTTTAAATATAATGATTACTCATGCTTAATAAAGTGTCATTACTTTCTTTTATTTAAAAATAACATACATTAAATTTAATTAAAAATATATAAATTAAAAGTTATATTTTAAAAATGAATATTTGTACAAATCAAAGCCTTTCATGTTTTTATTTAAATTTTAACTAATATATATTTTATAAAATAAAACAAGAGAGGTAA